TATGATGACTTTTTTATGATTCACTGTTAGAGAGAATACAAGAAGATAGAAATTTAGAATATATAGTAGAACAGCAGATTAAAAAAAGAATGCAATGCACTATATCACAAAGTATCATCAAGCAGTCATCACATATGCAAATAACACAACATAGATTGCAAATAGTAAAAAATAGCTAATAGTAATATTAAAAATAACAGAAAAATTCTTCAAGATGAATGATATAGAGATAAATGGATCCAAATCAAAGCTTTTGATAATGAATACAAAAGTAAAGAAAGAAGAAAAAAGAGTGATCTTCAGAGAAAGCAAGATAATAAAAGAAGCAAAAAACAAGATAGTTCACTTACTAGAGATATGGCTAAATAACAGAATGAGTGAAGTGCTAGTAAAAAAGAAAGCTAAAGGAATAATCAGCCAAATAATAAAAGATCTTAGATACAAAAAGATGATTATGAGTCAGATTGTATATATAAACAATATGGTAATAATATCAAAACTAAGTTATATATTATAGCTAACAAAAATATCAGAAAGAAATATAAATAAAATATATTAACTATTTATATGTTTAGCAAAGCAGAAGAGCAACTTACAAAAAAATATTAGAAAACTGTTTAATAGAATACAAAGATTTTGGTAGCTGCAGAATACTACAACAAGAATTAATAACAAAACAAATAAGTAGCCTAATAGTAAGACTAAACAGACAAGATAGTTTTGGATAGCTAACAAAACTAAGAATAACACAAGAGTACAAGAGAGCAGGTTTAACAGAAGATATATAGAAAATAGAAGAGATGCCAGAAAATATAAAAGGTTGGAAAAGTAACTTAGCTTGTTTGATATTGCTAAAAGCAATAAAGCTCAATATAAATGTAAGAATAGAAGGCAACTTATAGACAATGTTTGAATATGAAATCAAAATAAGAGAACTTATAGATATGCAGTTACAGAAAAGAAGTAGTATGAAAATAAATGAAGCAGACTTAATATATCTAATAGATATAAAAGAAGAGAGATTAATTATATGACAACAATTAAAAAGCTATTAAGATCTATCAAATAAGAGAAAAAAAGCAAAATGGTTCAAAGCAATAGAGCTATAAGTACTTATTAGATTAGAAAATAGAGAAGTTAAAATGCAATTTAGAACAATTAGACAAAATACATAAGCAATGCAGATGAAATAGAAGCATATCTCAGAAGACAAAAAAAGAAAAGAATGAATAGCATATAGTGTACAGAATAATCAATAGTTAGGAAAGATAGTTAAGAAGAAAAAAAAAAATATTAGTAGAACATTAGTAAATGCAGAGTAAAGAAAATGAATTAGCTATTAAAATTAGTATATGCAAGAGTTGTACAAGAAAAGAAGAATACCAAGAAAATAGCTGCCAACAATAGATAAGAGTAAACAACAGAATTAATATAATTCTGAATGTATTACTAGAAAAAGGTAGTAACAAGATCAAGATAACATTAAATCAAATAATAGAAATAATGAACAAACTAGTGATAAGAGAACAGAAACTTGAGAGTTTAAAAACAATAGAAGAACCAAAAATGGAAATAATCAGATGACAAAGATTAAAAGACAGCATTAATCAAAAAATAGTAGAAGTTTTAAGAAGAAATATAATAAGAAGCAAGGACAAATATATAATATATACAGATAGAGCAACAAACCTGAAGACTAAAGAAAATACAAGAAACAAAAATAATATTGACATAGAATGGGTGCAAACAAACAAAACACAAGAATAGCCAAAAGAAGAGATAGCATTAGGTCTAGAAGGATGACAAACATTGATAATAGCTGAGTTAATAACAATATGGACTGCAATTTTAATGATACCAAAAGAGAAGCAAATAGAAATATATACAGATAGCAATGTGGTAATAAGTAAAGGTTTAGAACAAATATGCAGAGATAAGATCCTAAAAAAGAAGAATGCAATATGGATAATAAAAATTAGAGAACTTATTATAACAAAGAATATTCAGATAGAGTTTATTAAAGTTAAGAGTTATAGTAAAGATAAATAGAATGATAAAGCTAATAATCTAGTAAAAAAAAGTGCAATAAGTAAAAAGATAATACAAGTCAGAAAAGTCAGTTGTGAAAAGATAGAGTACTACCTAGAATAGAAAAACAAACATATTGATATATCAGCAAGACTGCTTTGCAAATTGATAACAAATACAAGAATAGGAGCTGAATAGAAAGAAATGAAAGCAATTAGAGAATTAGAACCAGAAAAGGAAGTTACAATTTACAATTAGACATATTTTTGAAATAGACTAAAGATATCTAAAGAAGTACACTATACAATAAAAAGAGGTAGTATTAGAAGAAGTGCATTTATAAAGTACATAATGGATAAACTTCCAACTCTAGAAAAACTTAACAAAAGAAGACCAGATATATATATAATGATGGAGTGCCAAATATGACAAGATAAAATAAAAGAAATACAGTCATATTTGGCAGCATATAAGGAACAAAGGAATCTGTAGAAAAGAATCCAAAAAGTAATCATTGCAACAGCCTAGAAGGAGTTAAAAAAAGAAAAAAATTCGAGTTTCACCATACATATTATACATAGTACTCTTTGGGAAAACAGAAGCAGAAGAAATTAAAATAAGAGAGGCACTAATTAAAGGTCTCATTTCAAAAGAAATATAAGACAGATTGAGACAGCTCCTAAGTACAAAATCAAGGCAGCAATTTATGAATATAGTAGCAAGAATGGTCTAGAATACATTCTATGAACAAGCATAAAGAATCTGATATGAGAAGATTAATGAATGAGAGAAAAATGAAGGAATAATAGATAGGATAAAAAGAAGGAAAGGAAAAAAGAAGAAAGCATTAAGGAAGAAAGAAAAACCAAATCAGCAAAACATAGAAGAAAAAAAACAGAAAGTGAAAGAAAAAGAAAAACAAATCAGAAAAGAAGTACAAAAAATAATTTTAGGACTCGTTATGAAGAAAAGAAGACCCTTTTAATATAAATTTTAAGTAGTTGGATGAGTAACTTACTTCTACATGAAGTAATGCAGCAAGTTACAATTAGATACTATTAGGATGACCAGGTGATGCTGGGCTTAGTTGTTAAGAATATTTATGTAATTGCAAATGTAATTCCAAAATCTTAATAAAGCATTAGTATGACTGCTTAAGGAAAAAAAAAAAATTAATTTAAAATGACATATTATTGTTTTTGTCAAAGTTAAAAAAGATATTATTTGTTTTTGCAATCTTAGCTATAGTTAAACAGTTTGCAGAATATGCTAAAATAGTAGATAAGTTTATAGCATATAGTCTAAGAATTGGCAAGACTATAGTAACTATGAAAGTTGGATTGTCAATGAAGCAGATTCAAACAATAGATAGTTGAATCTTAGATGTAATAATATTGTATATAAGGACTATAAGAACTACTAGTTTGAGTACATTAGCAACTATGAGTTTTGAAAAATAATTGATTTTGTTTTTAAGATTGTATAATGTAACTATTTGCTAATCTGACAAAATTTATTAATTTATGATACTCTACAAACATTTATTTGTGTTTTCATAACTAAAACCCAGATATGTAAGATAAACAAAAAACTGTTCAATATATAAGTATCAAGACAGTGTTTGTTTTGAATCATCTCAAATTTGAATATATAACATATCCTAATTATAGTTATATATTTGATCTTTTTGATTATTCTAAGAATCGATTAAGATTAAGTAAATATGAGGTAATTGCTTAGCTCTATTATATAATAATTGTTTTTTTTTAAATATTAAGATAAATACTTGTAATTCAAAATTTTATTAATAATATATTTAGTTAATAGTTGTATTATATTTACAAAAAACAATTATGAAAAAAATGTACAATTAACTATTCATATAACTTTAATTTATATAATCTGCTTAAAAATTTTATACTAACTGCCATACCTGAAAACTGCTTATAAATTTTATATTTAAATACTCTAGTTTCTATATCAACCCACCTACCTATATTTACCAAAATGCTCTGATCAATACCAATACAAATATACCATAATTACTAAGTCTTGAAAATAGTTCACTCACATAAGAAACTTTTAATCTTATACTAAACCTTCTGAAATCTTTTGTATCTTATTCTTACAACTGACCTAATACTATGTAATAATTGTTTAGTATGACTATGAGGTAATTAGTTAGTAATTGTTCAGAATAGTATAAGTCAGTAACTTGAGTAAGTATAAAGTTAATCGATAAGTAATTATTATGATATTTATTAGAATTGATGAGGTATGTAGGTAAGACAGCTTTGTTTCTTCTACAAACCCAATATTAGTTCTGGTTTCATCAACTCCTCCTTCCCTTGCCTAATCAAGTTAAATTTTAAGTAACCTGTCATAGTCATTATTAAACTTGGATTATAGCCTGTCAAATGACAATTATTTTTAAATGCTTTTTATAATTTGTCAAGATGACAGTCAAGTATATATAGTTCTTGTTGACGACAGTCAATATGTTTATAGTTTCCTTGTGACCTGTCAGGACGACCATCAAATATATATAAAAAAAAAAAAGGAGGAAAGAAGAACAGACTAGGAGTCGATTCTAAAAAAGCTGCGCAGATTGCTCGATAAGCAGGAGAATAACCCATTTGTGATTTCATAGTTAAAACCCAGATATGAGAGACAATTTAAACAAATTCGATTTATTAAAACTAATGTAAGATTAAGTATTATAAAAAATCACATTAATAAAATTGTGCAATAATCAATTAATTTATACGTATCAATATCAAATAGATCCTTATCACTATTGTTAATCACATGACAATTATAAAATTGATAATAAAGATTATCGACTTAATATCTTGAGTAAGTTAAGCCGCATTAAAAATATATGATTTGGCCTAAAAAATATCGATTTACATAAATCGATATTTTTCACTGTTCCTGCAGTTTGCATTTTTAACAACCACGAAAATTTAAAAATGAATACGTGTTCCATTTCTTCAGAGCAACCACAGTCCTCTATAAAGTTTCCTTTACAAACAAGGCAAACTGCGCGGGTGATCAATGGCGTACATACCGAAACATTAATTACGGGTTTTCGGGATAAAATTCTTGTGATAATTACGCAATATGGGAAAATTGGAAGTTTGGTAAATGAGACAATATTTACTTAAATATAAGCAATAATCGGTTATAATTACCATTAATTCAACATTTTTAAATATTTATTCTTATAGGCCTATGTAACATTTGACTCGCTTTCATCAAAATCGCTATCATCGTTCTCTACAAGTACTACCACTAACATTAATTTTCTACTTGGTGGATTTTCTTCTTTATATCAATTATATGCATTACACATTGCTACTATAATAGCGAACGAAAATCCCAATGATAGGCGGTCTGTGGTGATAGGGTTAGCATTAAAGAATGCTGTCGATGATAAGGACGTTGATAATAAAGAACTGATTGACTGCATTGAATTGATGGTTAGGGAGTGTAAGGTTTGGTAAGATCAATAAATAGAGATTTGCAAACTTAGAATCCGCCATGTAACTAAATAATCTAAATCATGGAAATACAATATCATAGAGTCATATCTTTAAGATGCAGTTTCGAATCAGAGCTTAATATGGGCTTGGTGCTAAGGAAAGGGACTAATTTGACAAAAAAAAAAAATATTCATAAAAAATTAATTATCTCGTGAACTATTGATTAGAATTTTTATTCGTTCTCAATGAGAGGAATCAAACGGTACCAAAATCATGTGATCTAATTAATTTTTTGATCATTTTTTTTCAAATTCGTCCCTTTTTTCAAAAAGCCCATATCATCTCGAGCCATAGTAGTTAGATCGAGAACTAGTTTTGCTAATGAAATTGTAAAACTTCAACTGATATATTTGTATGGTTATGGTTCGAGCTTTATAAATTAAATTGGCTTAAATATAGGAATCCGGATAAGCTTTTTCATCCGGACAAAATTTGTTTTTATATCATCTAGAAAATTCTTTTTCTATGTTTCTTCACTGTCCGTTAATTTTAGGAGAGCTTGTCCGGATTCAAGTTAATGTTGCGGGCGAAACTAATTTTGAACTTGTTGAAATTAATTCATCCGCATTTATGATCAACGAATTGACTTTTCACGTTTGTATATATATGTGTTATTTCCTTTTAAAAATTTAAAGAATTTCTGGATCTTTATCCGATTCTTGTTTCAAGATCCAAAATTCGTTATCTCCTTCATATGCATCTATCCTGTCGATTGGAAACCATTGCCAACATAAATCATTAAAAGTATTATCTGGTACCGCAAGAGATTGGATAGTAGTTGAAGGGAAATGGTGAATTTGGATAATCTTTAACGCGTAAAAGATACATGAACAGGTTAAGGTGATGTAATATCACTATTCGAAATCAAAAATACAAGCAGTGACCGTAGAAAGGATATTGGCATTATATAAGGCGCTTTATGTTCGAGGGAGGCTGTGGTCATTCTTGACAAATATCGAAAATTGTTATTTTATTTTGAATATTTAATGCAAATAATGTGATAGATATACCTTTCATTATAAAAGTCCAATCGGTTTCCAACGATGATGATATCTTTTAGTTTTATTCTGTCCCAATTTGCCTCGATCAAATTATTATATAATCCGAGTGGGCAATGTGGCATATAGAATAATGTTTGATTAGTGACAGCGCGTTTCGCTCTCTTTGTTACATCAAGCAGATTCCATTAGACAAAATTTAAATATTTTAAGGCAATAATAGTTTTGAACATACCTCATTAATTTTAATTGATTCTATATTATAATGGGTTAAGACCTCAATGTCAATTTGAGAAAGAATAGGGTCATACGCATATATTTTTCCTGTTATCTTTAATGTATTACATGTATTATTAATGTTCTAAAATTTGCTATCGACAAAAATTTCTAATTCACCTTAAATAAGTTCTTAAAAAGCAGCATTAATGCGAATTGATATTGTGATGTATTGGATCTTTCGATACTTCCTATTCCGTAGCATACTATATCAACAAGTGTAGGGCGATTTGGTGGAAGAAGTTTAGAGTCGATTATCTCTGAAGATATAATTACTTGGTTAGTTTCATCGCGACGCAGCATCGAAAATTACGTCAGTCAATCAATAGAAACCAAACTAATTTTTTGACAAAAATAACTTAAAAAAAATCTTTTTTAAAAAATTAATTGAGCTTATAGAATTTATTTAAAAAAAAATTTTTATCAAATCAGTTAAGTTCTTGTCGTTTTTGTTCAAAGTTTTAAGAATTTTGTTATAAAAAATTTGCTTGAATTCTGTTGACTCACCAATTTTTATCAAAAACATTATTACCTTTTAATTTTTGAAAGAATATAGTTTTTTTCAGTGTCTGCCTAATAAACCAAGAAGACAAAGTTAATTTTTCCTTTTGGCTTCAACTTATGCACATCGAAATGTTTTTGACGAACATTTTCTCCTCGATAAAATGTATCACCCTTTTAGACGAAATCTGCGTCACATTTTTACTACGATCTTTTTTTTTTGAATCTTGGTTCAGATACTTAAAGTTATGATTTTTTTCAATCCAAGGCGATATTCTAGTCGTGGGTTTTAAAATAATTTTGTTCGAAACAATTTTCCATTCTTCGTTTTGCGTCATCATGTGATATCTAAGAAAATAACCAGAGAAACCAAAATTTAATTACCGAAGCTGCGAGCTTTAATTGGCCGATACAAATACTGCATAACGATAATTCCGAGATCACAGGATCGAATCCGCCACTGATACACAATATACCATTTTTTTAATCTTGAATAATTTTTGATCTACCAGTCCGTTTTAAATCAAAATGTTCGTTCCATTGAAACGAACATTTGGGCTGCCGTCAATAGAAATCAAGCAAATCTGCATTTGAAAAAAAATTAATACCTTAACTTTCACAGCTCATATCTCAATGGATTTTAAAGCTATATTGATGGTTTAATATTCAAAAGGAAGCTTACGATCTAAGCTTTCTTTTGAATATTAAACCATCAAGATGGCTTTAAAATCTATCGAGATATGAGCTGTGAAAGTTAAGGTATTAATTTTTTTTCAAATGCAGATTTGCTTGATTTCTATTGACGGCAGCCAGTTGTTCTATTCAAAATGGATCGGTAGATCAAGATTAAAAAAATATAAAATTCAAAAATCTGCCTGTGTTCGTACAAACTGTTAAGGTAATTCGTAATAAGCAGATTAATTCAGGACTCAACTAGCAGTAGCAGAAAGTAGAGTTTTGAATTGGTTTTATTTTTATACATTTAACCCGTGTTTAGCATATGAAAAATAACGCCATACAAATTTAATGTCTTAGTTTCCATAATATGAGACTTCTGAGAAGACCCGGCCGGCCGGTTCTTTTTACGAATTTCATACGTATACGTATAAAGAAATTCCTTAAAAACCCACCGGTTATTATTAAAGCAAAAAATTTTTAAAGTTTTCAAAAATTGACCCGAAAACCAATTAATTAATTTTGCATGGCCTAATATTACGTATTTGTTGCAGCTAATATATACGCATTAATTTTATGGTATATTTTTTACGTAGTTTTTTGACATAAATTTGATTATAGATATAATATATAGAATTTAATGAAATAATAATTTAATTCAGACATTCTATTTTTTTACTTAGTGGCACTAAACAAGCTTTGAATTGTATTTGTCTAAATTAGCATCAACTTTAATCTTTTTACGTATAATGACTTACTTGCAATAGAATTTTATCAATGCACATAATTATATGTACAAAAACCACAATAACTATTAAGAAAAAATAAAATAAAATAACATTATAACTTCGAAATAGAACCTATGATTTGCTTACAAATAAGGCCCATAAGCCATAGTCGCAACATTTTACATATCTATGTTAAATAATAATGTTTCGGTTTTACTATTTTTAACACGTTACATACATTTGCTAAAGCTAATGTTGCTAAAATAACATCAGATTTATATAATTTTGATTTTTGGCGATGCTTGGTTCTTGATGATGCTCATTGGCTTTGTAACCCCGTTTCCTAATATTACGAATTTCACTCGCATAAGAAATATCACGTGTATAGCCCATTCTTGGCATATTCTTGTTTTTATTGGTTATTCTTGTGGTACCACGACAGTCAGAAGTCTTAAATTGTTCAGCTGGCAAAAACATAAATGTATTTTTCGCTTTCTCGTGTTTAACTTCAACATTTTGTCCGTTAAATTCTATTAATTCTGTTAGTAAAGTATTTCAGAACTGTCATATTTGTTCAAGCCCTTAAATCTGGCCTTTGGTTTTGTTTTACACCTTCTGTGTTCTTGCGAACGCCATTAAATTAACATTTTTTGTTTCTTTTATCTTACAATCATTAACCAATCATTAAAGAATCAAAATACAACACGATGGCTGCGCCAGTGGGGATATTACGAAATACTAACCAGACGCAACAGGTAAAAATATGATGGCACCTATATTTCCGTCTAATTTCTGGGTTTGATCTATTTCTTAAAATCTGAACAAGTTATGAGATTTGATCATTTATTCCATTTATTCTTTAACAAATAGGGTAAACCATCTACATTAGTTGCTCCTTTTTCCGATAATTCAGATTCGGAACAAGAGGGAATCAATAGTGCTGATTATGGCCAAGAGTATGAAACTGAGCCTGAAGGTGACTTGAACACCGAAGAGGCACAAGAAACTTTGCAACATGAAACTTTAATAAAATCCGGATACCTTGCCAAAAAACAAGAAAGACGGAAAGTAGGGAACAAGGTCTATATTTATACATACAAATTTTGTTAAATGATATCATACTCAAAATCATAGCTCTTAATAATATAGATCTATCAATACTTAGAATTGGAAACGGAGATGGTTTGTGTTAAGGTCAACAAAGTTAGCTTATTACAAAAGTGAGAAGGTAATTATGTCGAATAATTTAATCAGTGATTGGGAACTTATAAATAATTATTTTGTAATATTATTAGGAATATGAACTTTTGCGAATTTTGGATTTGAATGATATTCATACGGTTGCTGAGGTGAAACTGAAAAATAGGTCCAATGTGTTTGGTATTGTTACACCGAAGCGTACATATTATGTTCAAGCGGGAAGTAAACGAGAGCTTGATGAATGGGTAGATGCAATAAATAAAGTCAAGAAGGAAGTTCAAGACAGTGAGCTTTTTGATGATGAAGGAAGTCAGGCTGACGCCGAAGATATGGTGACAAAAGAAAAAAAAACTAAGCGCCTCACTTCTCATTTAAAATTTGAATCTTCAATGCAAGCTTTGGATAAACAATCTACCAAAGCCTCCGTAAATGAAACATCTGCCATCGATATTCCAAATTCACAAGTTCAATCAGCAGAATATGGTGAAGGTGGAAATTCATATGTATCGGTTTCCTCTCTCACGTCCGGGGGTTCCATTCCTAATGTATCATCTTTACCGTCAAGTCCAGTAGCTGCTCAATTTTCAGCCGAAAGAAAGGACAGCAGTGATCCTACTGCTAGTTCTGAAGAAGAGGAGGGAGGCTTTATTGATGTAATGGGAGAGGATACTACTGATGATAGTCGCGAAATCCAAAAAGGATATTTATATAAACTTGATAGATATAGAGTAATTGAAAGTCATTAATTTCTATTTTATTTATTTATTTATTTGGTAGCTATAACTGGATTGTTTTTATTTTATAGACAACTTGGAAAAAGAGATGGTTTGTGTTAAATAACACGAAACTAGCATATTACAAAGACCCTAAGGTAAAAATAAATTAGCTTTATATATCTTTATTTTGTACTTAATGTAATTATCATTTTTAGGATAAACGTCCTCATTTAAATATTAACCTTGCGGATATTCTGGATGCCATCGAAACTGATTCTCTCTCTAAATCAAGACAATATTGTTTCAAGATAATTGCTCCTAAACGAACATATATTTGTTGTGCTCCTAATGAAAAATCTCAAGTCACATGGCTGGCCGCTCTACAAGTAGCGTTAACAAAAACAAAGGAGAAGCTAAAAGCAGAATCTTGATAACTTAAATTCTCCATGTAAATATGTGATCTTTGGATTTTTAAGATTGGCGTTGGTTATTTTCTCAATATTCTGTCTAAATGTGCGCGCTTTTTTATTAATGCATTTGTATTTTTTTTTGATGGGTGTTGTAGTGTTGTATTATGGATTCTATAATAATTATAATATTAATTTTTTGTAATTGGTTCATATTAAATTTACTTTCTTAACTTTATATCATCTTTTTTCTATTAGAAATCTTACTTCTGCAATTAATTTTATTGTTTCTCTGGAAACAAATTATTCTTGTTCTTAATCATATTCATTTAATAAAACTGTATCCCTTTTTATTTTGATTTTAATCTTTTTACGATCATACGATATATCAAACTGTAAAATTTGTAGTGTTTACAATAGACATTTTATATATGAATATTTTACTTTCTGAACAATTCTAAAATTTTTTTCAATGGATACTCAAATTTGCTTTATTACACATAAAAGTTTGACCGGTTGAATATTATATTATTCCTATGATACTTGTTTATTCTAAATGTAATTAATTTACGATTGATATACAGTAAACCTCCATAGTGCACGCACTCGGGACCGAACTTTAACGACGTGCGCCTAGAGAACAATAAGAAAAAGTGCATTTATAGAGGTCATGTATATATTTGGGCCCAAATTTAAGCGTGCATTTGGGTGCACTTATAGAGGGTGTATCTAAAGTATCTTAACCAGCATCAGCATTAGTAAGGTTCATTCTGATTGGATAAAAAAAATGATCATCATTTATATCGATATGTAGATCTATTCGCTATAGGAAAATTTTTTTTTTTTACTAAAAAAAAAATCGAAATAGTTATACGTACATATATTTTGCCCGTTATCCAGTCGTTTAGTGAGTTGTCATCCAGTCGGATCCAATGGATGAAGAATCTAAATGAGAGCATCTTTTTGCTAAGTATTTATTGCCATTACTGAAGTTTATTAAACTTCTATTAACTTTTATATGGCATTTAAGAAGATTCATTAGTTAGACGACAAGATACTGTAAAATTTTTATAACTAGTCAAAGTTTATTAGTAGTTGCGTAGCAGTTTAATAAATTTATTTAAATTTAACTATCAAGTACTAACAAGAGTCATTTTATTTAAAAAGATAGCATGTGTTTGGTAAATTTTATCTAATCCTATTTCTTTTATTGTTTTATTACTTTCAGTTAGAGATTTATCAGCATTGATCATATCTTGTTTTTCCTTAGTTGTTAAATTATTTGGACTTTTCTCTAACCTACTTAAAAAAATGATTTTACATTGCTATAAATTTCATGTTTGTAATATTCTTTACAATAGCAGCAACCAAATCTCATTCTTCTTTACAATGGTAGCAACCAAATTTTATTCTTTAATAATATTGAAAATGATAGCTATGCTTGCAAATTAATATTTCTCTATCCTTAAGTTCTTGAGAACAATAATTATAGGTATTGGATTATGAAGATAAGTTAGTATTGTATATTATTAGAAGACATCTTAAATTAATAGTTTTTTTTAAAGTAACTAATTTATATTAATTTTTTCTTAACAATTGATTTTTTTTATAATTGTTAAAAAGTTTGTGGAAGTGTTTTAGTAAAAATAAAATCATTTTTTTCATAAAAAAATCTAATGTTGGTGGCTTATAAGAATAGTGCTATAATTTTTTAAATGTTTTTAAGTTTACAATAGTTTTGTGCATTTAATAAATCAATACTAATTTAATTAAAATTTTTTATTTATTATTGTTTTTTAATAATTTGAAATAAAACTTATCTAAAGGGTGTGGTGACTTAGTGAAGTAGATAGGTTGTTAACCTTCAAGTGACAAATCTAAAGTTCAAATCCTAGTGATAGTGGAAATTTGCAATTCTTTCTGTGTTATGACTAACTGTCTTCTGTGATTAGTTGGGATAAGATATCATAACCTGTATTATACTAGCATGACTAAAAGGTCTAGGCACTTGTACAACATTGTATGAGAGAATACAAACTGGTATCAAGCAATATGAACCCAAGATAAGTTCTTAGGCTGTATAAATCATAAGAACCAGATAAGAAGATAGAAACTTACTTGAAAGATCCTAAATAGAGAGGTAATCTGAACTTTTAATAATGCTACTATAAAGACTAGACTTATAAAACAGAGTTAGAACTTGTGAAATTAGACAAATGTGTTGGTCTTTGTAAGAGATCAGATGAACTAACCAGGCTGTTAAAATTTCTGGATTCTAGAAAAAAAAAGTACATGCTAACAAACATGTAAACCAAAGGTATATAGTTTCGATCTATCTTTTTAAGCTATCTGGAATGGCAGCTTAGTAGAACTTAAATTGAATACCAAAGTACTAAGAATATGTTGTAAAGTCAGTACTAGAGTTGGAATGAACTCTACAAAGGCATAGTGGTTTAATGATACATTCTGATTATCAATATTGGTTTTGGTTATAGTAATATTAGGTCAGCTATAAGAATAAGATACAAAAGATTCTGAAAAGTTTAGTACAAGATCAAAGGTTCTCTATGTAAGTAAACTGCTTTAAAGACTTAGTAACCATAGCATATTTTCACTAGTATCGATTAAGATTGTTGGTAGACAGAAGTAAGTAGATGGATACAGAAACTGAGTAGTTAAATAGGGAATCTATAAGCAGATTTCAAGTATAGCAACTAGTGTAGAACTTTTAGATGGACTATTTAAATTAGACAATGACTAAAGTTGTATAAGTAACTAGTTGTACACTTTTTCTATAATTGCTCCCTATAGTTGTAATACAACCATTAGCCAAATATACTATCAATAAAATCTTAAGTTACAAGTACTCATCTTAATATTAAAAAAAATAAAATAAAACTTATCTATAATATAAGCTTATTTGATAATATTATCAATACTGCTAGTTGAAAAGTATGAGATCATATCTTATTATACATGTTTTCAATATAGTAATCATTAAAATTTATCAATAATAAATTTATAATCTTTGCAAAAGAATAGTTAGTACTTGTCAATAAAAGATATTAGATAAAAATACCAATAGTGCTTTATTATAATTGTGTTATTTCTATCTAAAAGCAAATATCTAAATTTTAATAGTTTCTATCCAAGATTGCTAGAACAATATTATCCAACAAATCAATAACTATGCAATATTTGATATCTTTATAGCATTCAATTTTTTTTATAACTGTGTCTTAAATTTTATACTAGTTGTTATAAGCAAGATTGAGAAATTCTTCATAGTCTAGGTTTTTTAGCAAGTTTCTTTTTTTTACCAAAAACAAAATAAAATATTACTTTAAAAAAAAAATAATATATAATTAATATTTGTTCTTTATTATTTAAAAAGATATAAAAAAATTTAATAATCAAGATTAAAGAATTAATCTTAGCCAGTATGTTATATTATGAATTTGCTATATACAAATTTATAATAGTTTTGTGAATAAACAATTGCTTAGATCAGTTTGCTACTATTAAAATAATTCTATTAGTTAAATGCTAGATATCATTATTAATAACTAAAATTATTTGAAGTGCTATTATATAGTTATTCACAAAATATAGACTTTCTTCTTTAATATTGACTAATTTTATACCTTCTATTAATTTCTTTTATTTATTTTTTACAATATTATTATCATAAATATGAACTATAAGCAAATTAGTTTAATTAAAATTATTAATATATAATCTTTTAGAAGTAAGTTATTGATTTTTATGATTCATATAAGTAATATCAAATATTTTATAATATTGATTAATTAAGCAAAAACAGATATTGCTTGCATCAATATTTATTAGATTATAGATTAATATATTATTAAATATTGAAAAAACAGTATACAAGATAAAACTTGTTTACAAATGCAAGTGGTCATATGTTTTGCAGTAGATAAAAAAACTGTATCTGGTCTTTTGTTTTTGTAGATATTATAGTAATTATATATTCTCAAATAATATTAAAACAAAACCAAAATTATTAAAACAGATTTTAAATAGATAAGATTTTATTTTATTTGATTCAAATTTTAATTTTATTATTTGTCAATTCTTAATAAATAATATTACTAAAAATTAAGTTTTATAAAGTAAAATTTTAAGAACTGCAAGCTTTTTTTCAGCATTATATTATGTATATATATTGCAGATCAAATTGGGTTATAAGTCAAGTTAATCTTGATTTAGGCCAAATTGATTAATTAAAAAACCTTAGTTAGCATTAACAGAATTTTAACTTACTCTAACTTTAAAATTCTACTAAAGATTAATTTAACCTGTAATATATATAAATCTGCCTATTGAACTTTTTAAAATTATTTATATCTGACTGCAAGTATTGGTTCTACTATAATGATACCTAAATCAGTTATAAAAATAGATACAGAAGGCTTTGAAAGGTTTACCTTATGAATAAAATAGTTCTAAGGTTGAGATGATGATCTGAGCATCAGGTATAACTCAGTGAAGTTAACAGATTTGCAAGTTTAGAGGGTTTAAAGTGGAATACTCAAGCAGGAATGTTAAATACAGCAATTAGTAAAAAACCTTTAGCTAGACTTTTTAAATAGATAATATAAAAAAGTTATATGTATAGCTAATTGTATACTCTTTCTGTAGTAGTTACTAAACTATATTTACTATTGTTAAATAAAGTTAAAAGACCCAAGAGGTCATCTTAATACCAAAAAAAAAAAAAAAATTACTTATATATTTAGAAAAATATTTTCTAATTTTTTTAAAGTACTTATTTGCAATTTGTCATATGTAATTATTAACAGTCTGATAGCAAAAAGAGAATCCAATATTATGCATCATATCAATTACAGTATGTGATATTTTTGATGCCAATAAGTATAATCCAACTTTTAACTTAAAGTTATTAACAAATTTATTTCTCATATTTGCCATTATATAGTACAAACTTATAACTGATTTTTTTGCTTCAACTTTATAATAGGTAGATCTATTTTTAGAAA